GGGAGGGCCAGACATCAGCAGGAAGGGGGGGCCTGGAAACCGCCGGACACCCCAATAATCAGGATTAGCACCCCCCTCCCCCGTCTGGATCCGGAGGATCCAAGCAGACCAGATCAGCCTGGAGACCCCACAATCTTCTCTGATGATCGCACGAAGATCAGGGGGCTTCGGGGCTCCTCATTTTTGGGGGTCCCTCGATTGATTAACTCGCTCGGGGCCGTCCCCCCTCCCCAAATCCTACTGACACCTCCCTCACCTACCGTGCCCCCCCCAATCTGGTCGGCCGACGAAAATCGAGGTGAAAGAAGGAGATACCAGGCCACCATTTTAAGACAGGAAGAGAGGGGGAGGCACCCTGACATCTCTCATCACTTGGGGGGCTAATGTTTCGTTTGGGGGGCGTGTGACCCCCCCCCCTCACAGCTGCCATTCATGATCGACATTTAAAGGGGCCTTGATCGGCCGGCTCGGGGGGTCCCCTTTTCCGTTTGTCTTTTTTTTAAAATTTTTAATGAAAGGAGCATTCCCCCTTCTTTTTTTTTTTCTCCTTGTCAAGGGCCGCGGCCTACTTGTTTGTTTTGCCTCCTCCGGCGGCTCCGGTGTTTCCTGAGCTGCGAGGCCGGCCCGCGGGTGGCGGTGAGCGGTCAGAGTCGGGGAGGAGAGCTCGGTGCAGGCCGTGACTCGGAGGAGGGAAGAGTGTTGCCATAGAGGCGGCTGGCAGCACGAGGAGGAGAATGGGCTGTCTGGGGAACAGTAAGACGGAGGACCAGCGCAATGAGGAGAAGCAGCAGCGGGAGGCCAACAAGAAGATCGAGAAGCAGCTGCAGAAGGACAAGCAGGTGTACCGGGCCACGCACAGGCTACTGCTGCTAGGTGAGCTTGCAGGGTGGGGCCCTCACTGTACTGTGCTATGTGGAGTCAAGCTTGGGACTTGTAGTCCCCCCCCCCAGAGGTTGCAGGGAGACATCTTGGCTGTGGTCTCTTTGGTGTTTTGCATGGCCCAGCCAAGACCTATTGCTGCTTCTGTGTATCTGGTTACCCCTAATGTAGTCTGTTATCCCCTGGTCTGTAGTACTTCTCGTCAATATCACTGATGGGGGGTCCTCTGAGGCCCTTGTCTTTA